AAAGCAGAGAGATCTTAGAAATGATCGTACCACCGTGTCTTACAGATGAGGAAAGTGAATAGAAGTTAAATGGTCCTCGTAGCTGGTGGGAAGGTAAGATGTGAAAGGGGCTTCCTGATCTTTGACCAATTTTTGCCCTTCCTTCCTTCCTTAAGAAAACAAAACAAAATAAAAATAGCAAGCCATATCTAACCATAGAAAAAGATGCTTGGTGATTCTATTTTTGTTCTCATTCAAGTCTTTGCAGAAATTGCAGTCCTAAATGTTTACCTAAACTATAAGGAGAAGTCTGTATGTAAGTTGTTCTGGTTACCAGAATTTTTTGGCTCTCTTACACACATTGTAGAACTTGCAAAAACCAGTCTTCCTTTTGTTCAGGATAAATTTTGGAATGCAATCGTTGTTAATAGAGTACATCTCGTGTAAAACATTTCTCGTAGAGCTAGAGTGAGTCTGTTAATGTGATGAAAATTTTTTTGGTATTTGAATGACTGTCTTATATTTTAAAGAAAAATCAGGTAGCATTTTCAATTGTTAACAGTTTTCCCCTAGTATCAGCCTCTCTCTGGTTTTTATAATGTTACCACCCATTTCTTACTCACTTTTATTCATGTCAGGAGGTTAAAATGACAGAAGTATCTACTGTAGTAAAATATATTCCTATTTTACCTGCAGCCCCAAATCTTGAAACATTAGCAGAATCACGCGCCCCACGGTCCTGAGCTCCTCAGCGCCTAGCGACTGGCGTGATCAGTTTTGTGTCTGATCGGGTCACTCCACAGCTCTCCCTTTTCTGGTACAGCTGTTAAAAGTAGTCACAGCGTCCTTGAGGCAGCAGCGATAACAGACACAGATGTCATGAATTAGAAAAAAAAGATTTTTAGGAAATAATTATATATTCATCAAGTTTGAAATGTGGAACACGTATCACTGCTTTTAAATGTGTCTCACATTTTCCTGAGCATTTAAACTTTGCGGACTCTGCTGGTAGAGAGGGGACAGGATGGGCCGGGCCGGGAGGGGCTCAGCCTGTGCTCGGTGTCAGTCAGAG